CTCCCTTACCCCCTCTCCTTTTTGCGCCGTACACAGATTTTGCCCATTTTGGTCTGGAGTCAGGTTTCTAGAAAGCTACGGCAGTGTATGAACGTATGAAAGTATTTGTCGTTTCAATTCTAAATGAATAAGAAAGAAAGAGCAATAAGCAGATAACAATTTGAAATGAATTTTCAGAAATCTGTTTTTGGCGTTCTACTTTAAGTAATGTTAACATAATTTCTGCCTATGCCAGGTCTGAAAACGGGTGTGCAAAAATGCCATTTTTTGGTCTCAAATAGGGTCAGGATTTGGAGAACTGGGTGGAACACCCCCACCAACAATTCCCAGGAGTAACCCCCACCCCGCTATTCCCCCTCGTTCCTCAAGAAAAGTATTCGATGTTGGTAGTCCTGTGCTTGGCAGTACAAACAAGGGCAACCTAAAAAACCGCGTGTCTCTTACCTTGAGAAACCTTGACTAGTTACTAGGTCTTCTTGTAACATACGGTCTTCTTGAATTAGAGATGGGAGTTGTTCACACTGCGTTGGTGGCAAAAGATTGGGAATAAATCGTGCAAATAAGACAGGATTACGTGATGAAAACTCTGAAAGCAAAACAAAATAAAATAAATCTTGGTTTCTCTCCTTCAAGGGGAGGAAATGAATACATGTAAGCTGCAATAGTGCATGGTAGTGCCAATGAGCAGATGAACGTGGAAACAGTTGTAATACCAAGACATGCAATTTTGAACTTCACTTTTGAATCTGAGACGGAATCCTAGGGTGTGACCATTCAAATGAAGCCTCTTCAGAAGTACTTTTATATTGTACTACTTCTTTGCAATTTGTTAGAAACTGAAGTTTGGTATTTCTTGAAGATTCCTTTTAAGCACTTATGAGGCTAAATGGTTTGATATTTAGTTGGCTGTTGGGCCAACATGCCGGAGCTTAATTGCCTGTCAGTTCTATGAACATAGTACAGGTACGATCTTGGAACCACTGTTTATTTGTGAGTTGAGTTTGTTGTTGGTGCTCACTCTCGCACAAGGCTTTTTCTCTTCGTTCTCTGGCTCCCCTCCCTCTCTAAAACCAACATTTCCAAAAAATTCCAATTTCATTGGGACAAGCAGGCAATGAATGCATGTGGCTTATTTCATGAAAGGCATTTTCCATGGTATTTCTGCTGCAACATGAATCAAGGATTCTTACCACAGCGCTAAGTGCAGTAGCCTAAAACCACCCTTTTGGTATCTTATTAATTGTTTATTATTTCATTAAGGGTTTTTATATCACCTGGTTTGAGTGAATAGAGTCCTTTAACAATGGACATCATAACCTGAGGATCAGCACCAAATGGTTTGGATGACACCTCTTCAATAACAGCTGCAACATAATTATAGACAATACAGCTACGGCAATTACGCATGTGATCCTTGCACTTACGGTCAACTCTCTCTAAGACAGACACCTTAGGGACCGACACTAAGTGTCCATCTTAGAGAGATACATACATACATCCATCCTTTATTATCTTTCCTTAAACAAGGCTTTTCAAAAATAATTACAAAAAATATGATTACAAACGAAAAAGAGTTCAGTAAATATATAAAAAGTGGATTGGTAAAATTATCTAAGAGCTAAAAATTAATCACTATATACGATCATACATAAAAATTATACAAGAAACATCGTTTATAAAGTTCTATGCCAAGCAAAATAGCTTACTTTTGAGCCTTCATTTGAAGTTTAAAACATCTTTGCTTAGTTTTAATTCATTGTCCAATGAGTTCCATATCTTCACTGTTCTGTAGTAGAAGCTTCTCTGGCCATTTGCCAATTTAAATAAGGGAATGCATAGTGATTATGTGTTTCTAGTTTCTCGCCCATTGATGTTAAATCGTTAAGTAAATTTAGATGTAAGATAACCTGGTGCTGAGCCCGTCATACATTTAAATGCCAGAGTGGCACTTCTACAAGATAGATTAACTTTTCTACTGAGAGCCAATTTAATTCTTCTGATAAAGGAGAAATATGGTCATAATTTTTGGTGCCGCTGATAATACGGCACCCATAATTTTGACAAGATTGTAACTTACGCATATTTCTGTTAAAAGTGTTTGCCCACATAATAGTTTACTAAATACTTATGTATTTATAAATTATATTAATTAAGAGATGTCTGTCTTAAAGGAAGTCAAAACAAGAGAGTAAAGAAAGGTAGAGACCAACTCTAGGTGTCTGTTTTACGGAGGTGTCCATCAAGCTAGAGAGTTAACTGTTTATTATGATCAACATAACAGCTGAGAAAAGCAAAAAAATTCAGGCTTCCAATGTTCTCTTTAGTTGATCTGATTTGCTTAACTGGACAAAGACAACCTGTTTCAGCTGATTGTTGCAAGGTCAAAGACAATGCTTTGGAGAACTAGATTCCCAGAAAAAAGGTAATTTGACCAGCAAGAAAAGTCTTGTATCTCTGCTCATCGTCTCCAGTTGTGGAAAATGGATTAGGATACGAAAAGAATGGGGAGGAAAAAAATTGAAATAAAAGCTCAAACTTAACTTATTTTACTTCTTCAAAATCCTTAGAAGCAAATCAATGTATATAATAATATTATAATATTTAATAGCTTGAATGTACTTACTGAAAAGAAAATCATTGTCAGCAACAAGATTTGTGAAGAGT